TAAATTAATTCTCATTTTCAACCACACATTCTTCAATAAAATAATATTTTCCATCACATCAATAATCTTATCTTCTTTTTTAACCACACATTTCCCATCATATCACTATTCAAAATCAATTCTTCCCCAAAAAATCCTTACCAAACACACTCATAGTGGGCGAGGTCGGCTTGCCTTTCCTGTCCCTGTGCTACCTGTCCTTCGATGCGGGGCCTTATCTGGTCCGATGGGCTTTAATCAGAACCCAACTAACTGAAGCCCAACTTCAGTTAATCCCAGGGGAATCATCAACCAAAAGGAAGGGCTGGAAAGACCGCCACGTGGACGGTTGATTTTGCAGCAACAGACTCTTAGCCGCATTGGTTGGTCAATATTAGGTAGCGATTCTAGGGTTTCTTCTTACACGCAGTCACAATTTATCCATTAAATTTCTCTCTCTATATTACCTGTTTTCCCTCTCTAGATTATTCGCGTCTGATATGGAGATGGAGCGCGTGACGGAGTTGACGATAGATCGGCGGCCAAGGAAGAGGCCTAGATTAGGCTGGGAAGCCGTGTCTCAGGCCCCTAAGGTATTCAATCTTGAATTTCTCGGATTTGGTCATTAGATGTATGATATATTTTTTGTAGATCTGATGAAAAGTTAGAATTTTTTGGATCAGGTATGGAAAAGGTTATATCTTTGTGCATTAAATTGCGTGTTTTAGATGATATGGTTAATTTCTTATATCTGTGATTTTCTTTTGATTCTGATCCGATTTCTCATTTTATGTTTAATTTTTTAGCTTTATTAGAGGACAAATGGATCGATTATGAGTTATTATTGTGGATTAACAAACCATCTTGCAATTATCTGATAGTGAATTTACGTGATATTATTTCTTATTTCGTCTCCAATATGCAAGAACTTAAGAATCGTTAGATGAAGCTGCATGAATCTTTAGTTTCTATCTATTTTCTTAAAGAAAAAGAAAGTTTTTGAGCTTCTAATAATTGGATTTGGGCCTTTTTTTCTCTTGTAAAACTTGAATTAGGAATTGAACCTTTGATACATCAATTTTTCAATTATTAGTTTGGTATTTGCCCTAACGTTTCAGCTGTGGATGCTTGGTATCTTTCTGCTTAAAAGAGATCGCATTATTTCATTAGATATCTAATCCCCTTGAATTCTTCTTCTTTCCATCTATCATGTTTTGGTTAAGTTTGATTATGAATCTCTAAATACCATTTTCCTGTTAGAATTTTGAAACTGAAATGGAAGGATTACAGGTTACCTTGATATTTAATGAGAAACTCAAGATCTTTATTGTCATTTAAAATTATTGGTGTGTAATTTTTGTTTGCCAAAAGTTAAATGGATAAAGGATTATTCTTACATAAAGTTGCTGCTTGGTTGCATTATAACTTTTGTTGGTTATGGCAATGCTTATAGAATAAATTAATTGGAATTATGATCTAACACGCTTGATGAGTTGCCTACGTTTTCCCACTTGTGATGTTTCTCTTAATTATTTTAATTTTTGGAAGAGTGCCATCTAGATTTGTTATAACATGTAAGCTTTGATTATTGAAGTGTGTTTTTTTGAGCTGGTGATGTCTTTTTAATAGTACTTCGCAATGTGGCTATATGTCTCTTATGATTATGTATCTCTTGATACAATGTTTTTTAAACAATAAAGTTTTCTTCTTTCATTATAGAAGGTGGGGTGTGTAGGAGATGAACAAAATTAATAATATTTTTTCATTGGAAACTACATCAATTAATGCCTTGTGTAGGCTCAGCTAGGATTGTTTTATGTTCAAGAGATTGGGAATGTGACGAGCTATGCACCTTCAAGAGCATCATCAGACCATCCCAGTTCTCTGTTTGTTAAGGGCCTTGCTCGAAATGGTTCTGCCCCTTGGCGAGAAGATGACAAAGATGGCCATTATGTATTTGAGCTGGGAGAAAATATAACTTCCCGCTGTAACTACCCTTTACTATCACATAAGAATTTACTTTGGTCGATGCCCCTTATGCATATGGAATATGTTATCTTATGTAGCCTAATTCATATGAATGTTTTCTATTGTCTAACTGCATTGTTTAACTAAATTATTTTCCCATGTGTTGTCAGTTAAGTAGGAAGATATGAAATATGAATTTCTAATATGTTTGAACCATTAACAACATATCTACAGTTATGGCTGTTTGTTCTCAGCGTGAAATTTAAAATTATGTATTCCTTTTCTTTTAAATTTTAAAACTTCAATTATTTCCGGCTTACTTTTGGTTCTTGAATGACATTTTCCCCCATGGATTTCCAACTTCTAACTTCTGTATCTGTTTAAAATATTTGCAGATAAAATTCATAGCAAGATGGGTGAAGGTGTGTTACTCAATTTGACAAATTCTGTTGGTTTGATGCTGTGATGTTAGTTCCATGTTTGCTAAAGCAAATTATTCTGTCCAGGCACCTTTGGCCAGGTTTTGGAGTGTTGGGATAGGGAAAGAAAGGAAATGGTTGCCATTAAAATTGTCCGTGGTGTCAAGAAGTATCGTGATGCCGCCATGATTGAGGTTGATGTGCTCCAACAGCTTGGAAAGCATGACAAAGGTGGTAATCGGTGAGTTTTTCCTTCAACATTGTAACATACTTTGCCACTCTTCTTGGCTTTTCTAAATTTTGCCAGTTGTTGAATGGGTTTATTCCTTGCAGTTGTGTACAAATACGGAACTGGTTTGACTATCGTAACCATATCTGTATTGTAAGTACTTGTATGATATATTTGGTGGATTAATTTCCCCAACTTAACAAATATTTTGGGGGTTAAAATTTGGATGAATTCAAATGGTTTTAACAGGTGTTTGAGAAGCTTGGACCAAGCTTATACGATTTCCTACGCAAAAACAATTATCGCTCATTTCCCATTGATCTTGTCCGTGAGATTGGCAGACAACTTTTGGAATGTGTGGCATGTGTGTAAAAAGTTTCTCTTTATCGTATATGTTTTAGATGCTTGATGTATATTACTAAAATTTAAATGTAGACCATCTTATATTTATAGTTTTTCAATAAGGAAACAATTGGGTTAGTCTTTTGCCTTGAATTGGATTTCCTTTACATATGATCCAAATTATAATATAATGCACATAGTTGTTTTGTTTTTGCTTTTAACAGTATTTTTTAAAATTTTTTGTGTGTATAATTTACAGTTATGCATGACTTACACCTCATCCATACTGATCTGAAGCCTGAGAATATTCTATTAGTTACGCCGGAGTACATTAAAGTTCCTGATTACAAGGTAGTCAGTTGATTTATTTTTCTGTCTAATGTGTGCATTTTATGGGAGAATGTTTTTCAGTAAAATGATGGCTTTTTCTCTTTTGATGAGCTGCCTCTTTGTATGATATTTATTTTGTGGTCAACTTATGTGCATAGACTGGTTTCAGGGTTTGTCAAGGTCTCCAAAGGATGGTTCATACTACAAGAGAATTCCCAAGTCTAGTGCTATAAAGGTAATTGATTTTGGTAGCACAACTTATGAAAAGAAGGATCAGACATACATTGTATCAACCCGACACTACCGAGCACCGGAAGTTATTTTAGGTAAAAATTTGTAATGGCCTTGCTAACAATTCAATAATAACCTCAGTTCTTAATGTCAAATTTTTCCTTGTATGTAATTCTTTATTGCCGCTGCATTCCTTTTGTTTTGTTTTTTGCTGGAGATTATAATTGTTTGGGGGTGCAGGACTGGGATGGAGTTACCCTTGTGACATATGGAGTGTTGGGTGTATCTTGGTTGAACTTTGCTCGGTAGGTATCATTTGCCTTTTCCCGTGGAATTATTTGTTTTGTGGTGTTGGGGGTGTGGGGCTCCTAAACTGTAATTAAACTTGTCTTGGTCGTACCCAGGGGGAAGCATTGTTCCAAACACACGAGAATTTGGAACACCTTGCCATGATGGAGAGAGTCCTCGGACCTATGCCCCAAAACATGTTAAAGAGAGCAGGGTAAGTGCAATTATGCATTGAAATTAGTCTAATGAGCTGATAAAATGTCATTATGAATTGTCAAGTTGCTTAATTGATTATATTTTTCAGCCGATCTGCTGAGAAATATGTTCGAAGGGGTAAATTAGACTGGCCAGAAGGTGCCACGTCTAGGGATAGTATCAAAGCAGTTTTGAAGTTGCATCGCCTTCAGAACCTGATCATGCAACATGTAGATCATTCAGCGGGAGATCTTATACATCTAGTACAAGGACTTCTTAGATATGATCCTTCAGATAGGTTGTCGGCTCGTGAGGCCCTCAGACACCCCTTCTTCACCAGGGACCATCTAAGAAGATGACGAAAATGGAAAAGCTGTCCGTGGATAACGATTTGAGTCAGTTTTGAGCAGGTAGACGGTGCATTATACTGGCCTCTGCTGGTTCGGGCCACTTAAAGTCCAATTCTTTGGTGGTCATGCGAGAGGTTTGGTGAACGGCTTCTTTGGGAAACCTCTGTGTGGTCCGTTTGTAAATGTAATGCTAACAACTAATAATTGTTAATGTAATGTTCTCCATTTATTTCATTCTTTTCCAGTTTATTATATTAGTCTTCTTTTTATCTCTTTAGTTTCTTAGCCTATTTAAATTTTTGATTCACGGTGATTTTAAATGTTAAAAAAGTCAAAATTTATTAAGGGCCTGTTTGGGTTCGGATTAAAATCTGATCTTAAATTAAGTCAAATTCAACTTTCATTGTGTTCAACATCTTTATTAGAGATGGTAAAAAAGTTCGTTCAACCCGATATTCCTGGCACCTCGTCCCAAATGAGGCGAGGATTACCCGTTTAATCGGGTAAACGGGGCGGGGACGGGGCGAGGGTTATTACCCCGAAGCGGGTATGGGAAACATAGTCCTCGCCTCGTTTAAAATTTATTTTAAATTTAATTTTTTATTGAAAAAAATAATAAATTTATCATTATTTTTAAAGAGGACATAAGTTACTTTTAATAAATTAGTAAAAAAGTAATAATATTTATTAACTAAAAACATAAAAAAATAAAAGTAAAAATAAAAATAATTAAAAAATAAAAAGAAAAAATAAATGGGATGATAAATGGGGCAATGGACTTGCCCCGCCTCGCCCTGCCCTGATCCCACCCCGTCCCGCTTTAATCGGATATGGGAATGGAGTAAGGTAACAAAAATACCCGAAGGGACGGGGATGGGAATGGCCGACCCGTCCCATACCCGCCCTGTTGCCATCCCTAATTTTCTCAGTCGCACATTTCAAAAGTTTCTATTATAATTCATTAAAAATCTAATTTTAAATCCTACAAAACGCCTTTTTATATTCCCGGTGTAACCACTGGCCAAATTGCAATCACTGGCCGAAAACTTTGATCGCACCCAAATTGCAACCATAACTGATGCCTTCTGTAACCAATTGTTAATCTTTTAGATGGTATCCTTCTGTAACCAAACATGTACAAAATAACAATTTTTAAATAAAAAATTGTAATTTTGATTGATGCTGGACTATTTTTGTCGACCACATGTAATTGGGGCACCTTGAGTTGATGTAATCCTATGTTGGAATGGTAAAAACTAAAAAGAGTAAATTCACCTCAGTTGACTATTTTTAAAAATTACTTTTTAGTCTAAAATTTTAACATTTTCATTTCGAACATTAGAATTTACATCAACGAAAAGGATTTAACGATGAGAGATACATGTAAATAAATAAATTTTAATCTATCAAATAAATAAAGTTTAAACAGCTTAGGCCCCTATTTGGTAAAAAATAAAATTTTAATTTTAATTTAAGTCAAAGTTAACAATTAATTTTAATCACATATTTTATGGAATCTACAATTTTTCAACCACATATTTTATTAACTTTTATCAAAATATGCTAAAATTTTGATTTTAATCGCTGCCAAACTGGGTAGAAGACATTGAACGAATAATGATATATAGTTAGGAAAATTGGATATTTCCTAATCCAAATTATACACAACTTCAACAACCTTAGCCTTGTCGAAATAGAACCCCTCCAAGACAAAAATTCTTGCCACGTCATATTATTCTCCGACATGACCGACCTGTGTCCTCTCTCAATCTTTCTATAGATGTGTTCGTAGACACACGTTTTCAGGAGTAGAAACATTGGAGCATTCAATTTGTTTAGAAGGGTTTGTGAATCTCTCTCAGTTATAGTGGATTAACGATCTTCTTTCTACAATTTGATTACGTACTCGTGTATTCTAGGTATTAGGTATATGAATTTGTCTGTAAAAAGTTTCAGCATGTCAATTTCTTAATCTTAAACAAACAAAGATTTTTCTTTGGTGTAATTGGCAATGCACATTCCGTTTCTTTGATTTAATTGATAATTAACTGGCTGCTGATCAAGAGATTCTTTCTTTGATTAATGTGCTATGATTGTAATCAGTAATCACATCCTATAGATTCAAAAATTGGATTCTTCATCGTATAATTTAGTTTAGAATTGTCGGAAACTTATTATTATTATTATTTTTACAGCGAGCATTGCATATTTTTTCCGAACCTCCTTGCCCATATGGCATATGGAATGACAATTTAGATGATTGTGAAGTATTTTGCATAGATATTCATATAACGAAGCTTTTATTTACCAGAGTGACGTAATCCCAATAGAACAAACTATACATGGAAGAGGTAGATTTATTAACATAGTGAGATGTGGTTGCAAAATATTTGATTCAATGGCTTTTCTAAGATTGTAACGGTGTATTCAAGCTAAAAATGGCACAACTAGTTTATCAATAAGATGTGGAGGCGGTCAGAATGTGTCACGCGGCTTAGATCTGGATGGAACGGCCCGGCCTTACAGCCGGGGTGTGCCAACTGCCAGGCATAGCTTTAGGGGCCTGGCCAGCTGGCCATCGCGGGACTGCATTTTTCTTGAAAGCTGTGTCAGGCCCAAGTTTTAGACTGAACTATTGAAATGTACATATTGTTGGATGATGATGTTCAAACTTCTACAGTTATCATGTCTTCAGGTGACCGCCCCATTGTGATTGTCTACTAATGAAAATTTCTCTATAGTTTGTTGCAGATCAGCTTTGCATTCTTTTGGTTCAGCCCTTGTTATCATTACAACCTAAAAGACTTCTGTTTTGTTAATGGGTTGCACAAATGGGCTTTTGAGTGCGAAAGAAAAGAAGCCTCTTGTTTCCTTTGGGGTGATATCTGATGTCCAGTATGCTGATATTCCCGATGGCCACTCATACCTTGGTGTTCCTCGCTATTATCGGCATAGCCAGCTAGTACTGCAAAGGGCGGTCCAGAAATGGAATGAGCAAAAGCTGAAATTTGTGATTAATTTGGGAGACATTGTTGATGGATTCTGCCCGAAAGATCAATCTCTAACTGCTATTAAGAAAATTGTCAACGAATTTAATATTTTCAACGGCCCAGTATATCACACGATCGGCAATCACTGCCTCTATAATCTCCCTCGTGATAAGTTGCTTCCGGTGCTGAACATTCTCGGTCACGAGGGTCTTGCATTCTACGATTTTTCTCCTGTCCCAGAATATCGGATCGTTGTCCTTGATGGCTATGATATCAGTGCTATTGGTTGGCCCAAGGATCATCCAAACACGTTGAAAGCTTTGAACATTCTCCAGGAAAGGAATCCAAATACTGATAAGAATAATCCAAATGGACTTGTGGGGCTCGAGAGACGGTTTGTTATGTTCAATGGAGCAGTAGGAAAAGAACAGATGGAATGGTTAGATTGTGTACTTCAGAATGCAACAAAGTTGAAACAGAAAGTGGTGATATGCTGCCATATGCCATTAGATCTTAGTGCATCATGCAATGAAGCACTATTGTGGAATTACGATGAAGTGATAGACGTGATACACAGATACAACTGCGTTAAGGTCTGTCTAGCCGGACACGCTCATGAAGGTGGACATTCAGTTGACTCCCATGGTGTACACCACTGGGTTCTTGAAGCAGCCTTAGAATGCCCTTCTGGCAGTAATTCTTTTGGACGCTTAGATCTTTTTGATGATAGGCTGTTACTCATTGGTGCAGATAGAATGAAGAGCCGGGAAATGGTTTTCAGTTGTTAGATGTACCAAAAACTTGTAAAAATCCATTCACTTGACTTGATAGGTGCGTAATTGTACTCTCAGGAAGATGCTCAAATAATGAGGTACGGATCAATTCCAAACCGTATAGCCCTTGTTTTGCCCCCATTAAATTACATTACATTAAATTCTTTTCTCTCTTTATTTCAACCACACATTCATCAAATAAAATAATATTACACACAAATCAAAAAAATTTCAACCATACATATTCCCATCTGTCACTATTCTAAAAATTTTCAACCCCCAAAAATGCAAAATAATGGGGGCCAAACAGGGGCATAAAATGCTGTTGCAATAGTTCTATGAAATTTCATGTACTTGCATCTCTGATCCCTGACAATTTCTCTATGAACAGTTTTCTGAGTCACCCATGGCTAATCTCAAAAAGTTTACTTAATGAGCAAACAGGTTAATTAAATACTTCTTTCATTTGTCAAGATCGGAAATAAGTGGAATGAGTAACTTCTTTTACAGTAGTTAATAAGAATATCTTACTTTTATTAGTGAAAAATGTATCCAGAGCAAAGAAAAGCTAAAGTGCTTATCTGGAGATGTTACATCTACTAAGTAACACTTCTCTCTATCGAAATCAAGCAAATTTTCATCATGATGTAATAAAAGTTTGCTAGTGCACAATTCTGATATAAACAGATAAAGAGTAGTCAAAAGATTGTATCACTTTTCTTGGGAGTTTTTGGTTTTTCTCTTCTCCAAGAAGAAGAACCCGAACAAAGACACAACTGCAAAAGCCGAGAAGCAAATTGAGGCAATATCTAGTGAGACATGACGTCCGCTGATTGCCTCGACTTGGAACAAATTGGTAGTCTTGTGAGTGTCTGTGGTCTGGCCGTAGGCTACCTCTTCGTCTGCAGAGTTATAAGCATATGCCCGGACGAAGTATGTACCAGTTGGCACATCCCTCTGCACTGTCCATGTGAAATTGTTGTTTGAGGGACTGTATGGCTTTGCAGCAATCTTGTGTTGGCAGGTTTTGTCCTTGACTAAATTATCGTCTGTTTTTCTCCAGGCCCTGTCCAGTTGGCTGATGGGTGCATAGCAAAGCTTCACCTGCACTGTCTTATAGGCTGAATCTGTCCTGGCTGGAAATGAAGTGTTGAATGACCAGGTCACAGTTATAATGTCTTCCCCAGCTTTCAGATCTGCAAGTTCAATTCAAGGTTAATTTTTAGACGAAACCGAAAGTTTCTTGCATTCAAAGCCATAAAAGATAAGTCTCCTCGTGGTTACAACTTCCACAAGTTGTGGCAGAGCCAGGATTTTCACGTAAGGGGACAAAACATATAAGTATTATGTATATACTAAGAAAATTTCCATTCCCTCCACCCATGTGTCTCTGCCACTGTCCATGATGTCGGTAATCGACACGTACATCGCCAGACTATACGTGTAAGCATGGATATGGTGCATAAGTGATAGATAAAGCCGGAGGAGAAGGGGGAACGAGAAGGTCTTACCTTGTCCCTTTTTGGGTGAAGCAGTGACAATCAGAGTTTTCTGAAGAGAAGATAAGGTTGCACCATGGCAGCTTGCTTCAAAACAAGAAATCAGGAGTAAAGATACAAGAAGAACAGAACCAGCCATTGATTGGTTGCTTTATGAACTTCCTAACAATCAGGCAATTCAAAAGGTAATTCTGAGGATCTGATGCTAAAGATGAGTCAAGAAGTGTGATTTTGTTGCATTATTTATAGGTGACACAAATATCTGTTCTTTAATGTAAGCAGAAAAGTCAAATAACTTGAAAATATTAAGACAAAATTGTTCTACATTTTTTTCCTTCTTGGCCCCAGGGTATGTTTAGGAGTCGTTGAATATTCAATAATTCTGGCTATGATTTTTTTGTTCATTTGACCTTACTTGTATATTCTCTTGTATCCACAAAAGAGATTCTTTTTTTTTTTTTTTAAAGTTGTGACTTGTGATTTTACAATGTATTTCGTAAAAAACATTCGACTTTGAGTTATATAAATAACACGATTTTAATAATTTCTAATAATTGCATCACACAGTAAATCAACAAACTTCAAAATGCGAAGATGACATCGCCTCTGAAAGTGATAACGAGCCTGCAAAATACTATACAAGTTGCTTGATGACGAGAACACATGAGATATAAAACTCGTTCTCTTTACTTCTATTACAATGAATTTTCATTTATCGGAGGCCAAGTAATTTTCCCTCCTCCTAAGCCTTTGTTTCTTTTTTTTTGTTTTTAGTATGAATAAATATATGAATGCTTTCGTATTCTTTTCTCTATAGTAAACATACATCTATTTCACTTAGGGCCTGTTTGGTACGGTTTAAAATCCAATTAAAATTGAAAATATAGTCGTTATTGGGTCCCACTCATCTAATAAAAGTCAACAATAACGGCTAATTTTTCAATTTTAATCCGATTTTAATCTCTACCAAACACCCTCTTAACTTCTCTAAAACAACGCCTTTTGTGCGGAGCGGAACTTACCAACTAGGGGAAGGGGCAAGAATAGCTGTAAAATTAAGTAAGAGGCAGATGAGAAGATACTACTTGGATGAATTTTGAAAGTCACCAAATTATCGCCCTTTGAAAATAATGAACATCAAATGGGGACTAGCGTTGGTCAACACTTGCCTACTGGCTAGAAAATAATTAAAAAGGCAAAAGAGAACCATTGCCTCTCCATCTTAACACACTTGTTTTATATGCATACCTTTTTGAAAATAAGTGCCACAATATTAGGTCAAATTTCCTCCACAAATGTGGTTGGTGCAGATCTTTCAAGCATTATGGAACTAAGTGGAGACAAATTCAAAAACAATTAATTGGATATTAGTTCACAGGACCAACTTGAACTCTTATTACGCAATCAAAGACGTCATAATTAGTTCTCCTTTTAAAATGGACGACGAAGGAATCATCAGTCTTCATGCCTCTACATCCATGCAAAAAGGATATACATTATTACCAACAAGTTGAGTGTAACTCATTCTTGTTCAAGTTGAGATTTTATTGAAAGAGAAAGATATCAAATATCTGAATTTTTGTATAACTCATTTTTATTAAAATTGAGATTTTATGAAAGATATCAAATGTCTGAATTATCCAATTCTTAAGGACCATAATTGGGAATGGTTTGATTGTCTTTCTTCGTGAAAGAGGTGAAATATAATCAACTTGAATTCGAGACTACTATTTCAAATCTTAGTGAAATATTGTATTTCTTTTCTCACGTTTATGCTTTTCGTTAAAAATACAATTGAATGTTGGGGTTATTCAATCTAAAGATTGTGTATGTATTTTCATATTTTTTTCAAGAAACAATGGGGCTATTTAAAATTGTGTTCAGTTTCACGTGCGACAATTCCATCAAGATCTCTTCCAAACTTACAATTTAAATAGAATTACAAGTTATAAGTCCTAAAGTCAACAGTTTTCATCTAACGCCCATTGTGAGCATGAATTATAATGTCCATCATAGATGTGGCAACATTCGGTATTGTCATGTGGCAACACCAAATGTTGCCACGTCCACGATTAGTACTATTAGTCTTGCGTGAGGCAACCCCGAATGTTGCCATGTCCACAATAAGTAGAAGCCACAATGCATTTTCATAATTACGACTATTATAGTTCTCTTCAATTAAACATTAATTTTTTTACTTTGAATGAAAAACATAGACAATAAGGAAAGCAAACCATTACTTATAACTTACGCAAGCTTATGTTTGGCTTAAGTTATTTTTTATCTCCTCATTTGAATGGATTACAACTACCATCTACTTATGTATACTAAGCCTTTGTTTGATCCCATTTTTTTCTAAAATATATTTTTTCATTTCTTCTTTTTTATCACATATTTTTCAATGAAATAATATTACACGCAAATCTAATTTAATTTCTTATTTTTTAACAACACATTACTCATCAATTTACTATTTCAAAATGCATTCTACACCAAAAAGTGGCTCGAACAGACCCTAAATCTCAATTGTATTCTACTCGTATTGTTCTCTTCAATTAGGAATAAGCTTAGAACTTGACCATTCAATCTCACCACATTAAATTACTTTAAAGCCACCAAACATCGATTATCATTGTTAAGAATAAAGCTTCAAGTAAAAGAAATAATCTAAGCACCGTGCTTAGCAAAACTCGACACATTAATTCATTGATAAATAAGTTTTTCAAAATTTGAATTAAATTTGTTATATCATTTCTCCTTCAAGTAGTAAAATATAAAAAGAAAGTAAGAAGTCAGAGATAAGATATGAAAGGTCGTGTATCAAAAGTCGTACCTACTTTGGCAACTAATGAACCATAAACTCCACTTGACTTTTTTAATTAAGTTGACAGATTTATCTTTGAGCCCATTTTTTAGATAAATTTTGTAAAAGTGTATTTTTAAGGAGAATGTGTGATTAAAAATAAAAAAAAAATTAACTTTACATGCAAAATTATTTTATTACAATAATTTACAGTTGAAAATGAGTTTTGGAAACGCAAAGAAGGACATGTTAGCATTAGCCAAGTTGGTGGGATGAGTTTACAACCTCAATTTGGATATGCCGAAGGCTCTTTCAGTTAGCAGATCAGTACGAGGATTGATTAACCCTATCAAGTACCGAAAATAACTAACCCTCGTTTTACTTGAAGAAGTTTGAAGGTTGAATGATTAATGGATCACAATTCACAACTAAACTTACAATAAGACAAATCAAGAGATTTTACACCAACTAATCCCATTCAATTCCTTTCAGATATTCCATGTTGAAAGCTGAATTTCAATACTTCCTCTCGAGTCGGAGTTAGGTGAAAACCACTCATATCCGAATTCTTTATATAAATCACTATATGAAGGTGGATCAAGATTGATGATAATTTGCTGATTATATTTATACGAATCAAGTTACAACATTTTTGTCTCACAAGAATTTATGATAATTATAGTTCAATGAGTACACTGCATACTAATCCAAAAGCAAAAAATAATCCCATCACTTTAGTTGAGAGCTTTTGGCTTTTCTCTTCTCCGAGAAAAAGAATCCAAACAGAGACACCACGGAGAAACCCGAGAAACAAACCGCGGCAATGTCGAGCGAGGCATGGCGCCCACTTATCGCTTCGATTTGAAATAAATTCGTAGCCATATGAGCGTCTGTGTTCTGTCCATAGGCCACCTCTTCATCTGCAGAGTTGTAAGCATATGCCCTAACGAAATATGTAGCAGTAGGCACATCCCTTTTCACTGTCCAGGTGATATTGCTTTTGGAAGGACTATATGGCCTGGAAACAATAATGTGTTGACATGTTTTGTCCTTTTCTAAATCGTCCTCAGTTTTTCTCCAGGCCCTGTCCTGTTGGCTAACTGGTGCATAGCAAAGTTTTAGTTTCACTGTTTTGTAGGCTGAATCCGTGCCTGCTGGAAAGGAATTGTTGTATGACCATGTTACTGTGATTTCGTCTTCTCCTGCTTTCAGGACTGCAAATTTTTAAATCTAGTGAGTTAACAAGAAATCTGGTATTTTATGTGGAAGATGAAATCCCGCGTTATGAATTATGAACAGAACGTAACCAAATCAACTCTAACAGACTGATAATATCTACCTTTTCCTTGTTGATGTGAAGCAGAAACTACGAGAGTTTTCTGAAGAGAAGAAAAGGTCGCTCCATAGGAAGTCGATGCCAAACAGGAAAGAAGAAGTGAAGCCACGAGAAAACCTTCAAGTGCTGCCATTGTATTTCTTCAACTGATAACCAAGAGAAATATTTGTGATCTCAATGAGGCTTATGTGATGTAATTGATGTGTATATATATAGAGAATCATTGCCTATCCATCTTAACACACTTGTTTTATATGCTTACTTTTTGGAAAATAAGTGCTACAAGCCCACAATATTAGGTCAAATTTCCTCCACAAATGTGGTTGGTGCAGATCTTTCAAGCATTATGGAACTAAGTGGAGACAAATTCAAAAACAATTAATTGGATATTAGTTCACAGGACCAACTTGAACTCTTATTACGCAATCAAAGACGTCATAATTAGTTCTCCTTTTAAAATGGACGACGAAGGAATCATCAGTCTTCATGCCTCTACATCCATGCAAAAAGGATATACATTATTACCAACAAGTTGAGTGTAACTCATTCTTGTTCAAGTTGAGATTTTATTGAAAGAGAAAGATATCAAATATCTGAATTTTTGTATAACTCATTTTTATTAAAATTGAGATTTTATGAAAGATATCAAATGTCTGAATTATCCAATTCTTAAGGACCATAATTGGGAATGGTTTGATTGTCATTCTTCGTGAAAGAGGTGAAATATAATCAACTTGAATTCGAGACTACTATTTCAAATTTTAGTGAAATATTGTATTTCTTTTCTCACGTTTATGCTTTTCGTTAAAAATACAATTGAATGTTGGGGTTTTTCAACAAGAATTGGTTGGATTAACTATTCAATCTAAAGATTGTGTATTTATTTTCATATTTTTTCAAGAAAAAATGGGGCTATTTAAAATTATGTTCAATTTCATGTGCAACAATTCCATCAAGATCTCTTCCAAACTTATAATTTAAATAAAATTGCAAGTTATAAATCCTAAAGTCAACAGTTTTCATCTAACGCCCATGATGAGCATGGGTTATAGTGTCCACTATAGATGTGGCAGCATTTGGTGTTGTCACGTCCACAGTGAGTATTATAACTCATGCGTACCGTGGGTATTAGATCATTTCTGCTCAAGTCAAACTTTAACTATATGAGATTTTTATTAGAGTCATTCATTATTGATAACCGTTACAAATATCTACAGAGATTTAAAGGTAACAAGCAATAATGGTTGAGAAGCTACAGTGCATTTTATAATTACGACTATTATAGACTTATAGTTCTCTTCAATTAAACATTAATTTTTTAAACTTTGAATGAAAAACATGGAAAATAAGGAAAACAAACCATTACTTATAACTCACACAAGCTTATGTTTGGCTTATGTTTATTAACATTCAAGTTATTTTTTATCTCCACATTTGAATGGACTGTAAGTACCATCCACTAATGTACACTATGCTCTTGTTTGATCCCATTTTTTTTTAAAATAGATATTTCTCTTTCTTCTTTTTTATCATGTATTTTTCAATGAAATAATATCACACGCAAATCTAAATTTTTTTCTTATTTTTTAACAACATATCATTCATCAATTTACTATTCTAAAATGCATTCTACACCAAAAATGGGGGTTAAACAGACCATAAATCTCAATTGTATACTACTCATATTGTTCTCTTCAATTAGGAATAAGATTAGAACTTGACCGTTCAATCTCACCACGTTAAAGTCACCAAACATAGATTATCATTGTTGAGAATAAAGCTTCAAGTAAAAGAAATAATCTAAGCATCGGCTTAGCATAACATGGCACATTAATTTATTGATAAATGAGTGTTTCAAGATTTGAATTAAATTTGTTATATCATTTCTCCTTCAAGTAGTGCTTTAATTTATTTAAATATAGGAATATATACACATGGCTCTTCAAGAATTTGAAACAAGACAAATTATTTGATGTCAATGAGCCACTTTCTTTGCATGATCCTTCTCTTTTTCCCATTTCTAATTTATTCCTCAATTCAAAGAAGACTCAAACTAAATATAAAAAGAAAGTAAGAAGTCAGAGCTATCTCTGATAAGATATGAAAGGTCGTGTATCAAAAGTCGTACCTAATTTGGCAACTAGTGAACCTAGTTGGCATTGAAAAATATAAACTCCTCTGACTTTTTTAATTGAGTTGACAAATTGAGCCCATTTTTCAGATAAATTTTGTAGAATTGTATTTTTAAGGAGGATGTGTGATTAAAAGGCGAAAAAAAAACCAACTTTACATGTAAAATTATTTTATTAAAAGAATTTAAGGTTGAAAATGAGTTTTGGGATCGCAATAAATGACATGTTAAAACGAACAAGTGGGGATTAGCATTCAATTTCAATACTTCCTCTGGAGTCAGAGTTATGTGAAAACCACTCATATACGAATTCTTTATACGAATCGGGTTACAACATTTTTGTCTCACATGAAATTCTTGAAATTAAATCTTCGTAGGTGGAAAAGAGAATTAATTTGGTTCATAATTAAACAACATAGTCCATATTCTTATTCATGAACATTCTAAATAAAAAGTAGAGAATAAAGAGACAAATGGAAGAAGGGCGAATTATTGATTTGGAGTTGAAGACTTCGAACTCTTTCTCCAATCTTCTTTGAACTTCAATTTGGTTCCAAGGTTTCTCGTTATTTTCTGAGTCTAAGATTGTCTAAAACACTCCTCCGTATCTAAAAATGTGTTAAAAATCATATTTACGCCAAAAAAGTGCCAAAATTGTCTTCCAACTCGGTAAACGCTTAAAAATGTCGCAGACAAACGTTGAGTTGTCTCACTCAATGGGCGTGATGGCTATGATTTTCATGGACACAGGCTACCTGTTATTTGATAGATCTTCAATCCACTAGTCATTGATTTGTTTGTGTTTGTTACTGCTTTTTAGGCTCACACGACAGGCGTAGTTATTCATCATCAATGGTAGTCAGCCATAGTCGCCCTGCCAAGCAATTCACGCCCCATCCCCATCCCCATCCCCTAAGGGGAGGGGGGGCGATGCAGGTTCCTTGTCTCGTTTACTGCCTTGTTTAATTTATTTTTTTAAAGTTTTTGATAATTCATTTTATTGCCCCCGTTTCTTAGAGTGGGACAATAATATATTTTTAAATTTTTATTTATTTTTAAATGTTAAATTATTCAAATATATTTGGTAAATTAAGACTTTTATTGGTTGTCATTTTTTTAGATAATCTTAATTGTCATTTTCTATTAGCACTAATGAAATTTTGTGAAATTTTCCATTTAAAGTATTGAATTCTAAACAAAAATAAAAATTAAATGGGTGGGTCACCCATTACCCGTACCCGCCCCGCCCCGTTCTTGAATCGATTAAACGGGTAATCCCTGCCCCGATGCATGCGGGTATCAAGTTTATCGGGTTTTTTTCCCATTTCTTTTTGGAAATTTCTCCTGTACACGTAGCGTGATTCAAGAATATTAGTGTAGAACAAACATTGTTTTATTAATTGCAAGTTCATGTATAAAAGTTTATTGTTAGTACAAAAGATCAGAGGTGAATACACGAACTAATATAGAGTTGTTTGTGATGGATCTAGGCATTCAAGAAGATTGAAAATTTGACGAGGACGATAAATTAAAGACAATGATGAAGTTGCCATAGACCTTTTTAAACAGGGGATATGGTTTAATGACATCATTTAGTTCATCATAGTACATTGTTAGGTTGGATGCATGATATTGTATCTTAGTATTGTCGATTGAATTTCTACTTTGCCTCATTGTATTCAGTATATGTCAACAAAAAAATTTATGAAGTTACAAAATCACGAACAATGAATGTACTCGAACTAGTTTTAAAAGTAACTGTGGTCTTACTGTCACTAAAATTTGTGAATACAATAAAATGTGTTATTATTAATGAAGTTTCACCGACTTTTTAATAAACAAAAGTCTTACCTTTACTATCAAACTCGATAGACCTTACAATTCCCCCAATCCCACCCTAAAAGAAATGACAAAGGAGAAGAATAATAAAACATACAAGAATTTATGATAATTATAGTTCAATGAGTACACTGCATACTAATCCAAAAGCAAAAAATAATCCCATCACTTTAGTTGAGAGCTTTTGGCTTTTCTCTTCTCCAAGAAAAAGAATCCAAACAAAGACACCACGGAGAAACCCGAGAAACAAACCGCGGCAATGTCGAGAGAGGCATGGCGCCCACTTATCGCTTCGATTTGAAATAAATTCGTAGCCTATACTCGCAGACACAAGACAGGTATGGCCACCTCTTCATCTGCAGAGTTGTAAGCATATGCCCTAACGAAATATGTAGCAGTAGGCACATCCCTTTTCACTGTCCAGGTGATATTGCTTTTGGAAGGACTATATGGCCTGGAAACAATATTGTGTTGACATGTTTTGTCCTTTTCTAAATCGTCCTCAGTTTTTCTCCAGGCCCTGTCCTGTTGGCTAACTGGTGCATAGCAAAGTTTGAGTTTCACTGTTTTGTAGGCTGAATCCGTGCCTGCTGGAAAGGAATTGTTGTATGACCATGTTACTGTGATTTCGTCTTCCCCTGCTTTCAGGACTGCAATTTTTAAATCTAGTGAGTTAACAAGAAATCTGGTATTTTATGTGGAAGATGAATTATGAATTATGAACTGAACATAACCAAATCAACTCTAACAGACTGATAATATCTACCTTTTCCTTGTTGATGTGAAGCAGAAACTACGATAGTTTTCTGAAGAGAAGAAAAGGTCGCTCCATAGGAAGTCGATGCCAAACAAGAAAGAAGAAGTGAAGCCACGAGAAAACCTTCAAGTGCTGCCATTGTATTTCTTCAACTGATAACCAAGAGAAATAAAAAAGGTCGCTCCATAGTAAGTCGAGGCCAAACTAGAAAGAAGAAGTGAAGCCACGAGAAAACCTTCAAGTGCTGCCATTGTAGTGCTTCAACTGATAACCAAGAGAAATAGTTGTGATCTCAATGACAATATGTGATGTAGTTGATGTGTATATATAGGGATTTCATAAAGGTCCCCATAAAAAGTGGGCATTTATTTGTGTTTTGCACAAGACATTAGAAATTGAAGTTATCAGAAAAATCAACTCCTTGACATGTGATCTTTTCGTAAATAAGTGGTAGCATGTTTTAATATAAGATATTATTATTAAGATATCATTTAATAGTCTAAAGCTCTTATCTCCAATCAAAATAAATAAATAAAAAGTAAAATATTTGTTACTCATTTAGAATTAAAATCAGATTTTAATCTAAGTCAAAGTCAAACAATCAATATTAACCACATCTTTTATGGGTCCCACAATTTTTCAACTACACATTTCAAAAATTTCAATCAGGATTTACTAAAAATCTAATTTTAATTCTCACCAAACACCCACTTAATCTGAAGAGTAAAGGCAGCCATTTTTTTAAACAAGGAGAACAAGTCAAACTCTCCCAACTGGTAGCATTTAATGATTTACAGAAGATGTTCAAAAAATATACTAAAATTTTACAAGGGTTTGAATAAAAATGAATTTTCAAATGCTAAAATGGCTCTTGAGCATGTGCAAGAGATGGAGTTATTTAATTTTAAAATTGTTTAGGAATTATGTGTTTGGGGTTTAGTTTAGAAGACGAATTTAGAGATATCAATCTTCTATGAAGAACACACCAATATATAAAAACATACATATAATGATGATTTTAGAATGCCTCGGGTTATACTTTTTTGTTTTTGTCCCACAATGCATTGGAAGAACAAATCGGCAAGAAAATTAAGGTTTGATTCACATTTTTTCAAAACTCATTTTCAACCACACATTTTTCAATAAAAAAATATTTCTCATCATATCCAAAAAATTTTCTTATTTTTCAATCACATATTTTTCATCACATCACTATTTAAAATACGTTCTTCTTTCAGTTATGTGCATCAAACACCCTCTAAAATCATGGATTGAAGATGATAAAGATTTTTTCATTTCACAAGTTGACTTCATCAACCAATCTGCAGGTTTAGGTTAGGTTGACCCAAGGTGCCAAATGGGGTTTTTTGTGATAAATGATAATAATGAGCCTTGAGTTACTTAAATATTTCTTTATTGTTTCTTGATGTTAAACAAGTTGCACTAATCAGTATGACCTCATTAACTCATTGTTATTTAGTAATGTTATTCGTAGTGTAAACTATCGATCGTCTTCCTACATGTTATATATGTAGCGATTTGTGATTTGATACACAAATCAATAAAACATTATCGCATTAATGCATCAATTCATAAACCGCCACATATATGCCATGTAGGAAGACTACCGGTAGTTTTCACTGCGAATATTATTATTCTTGTCATTAGATTAGGGTTGAATATTGGTAATCACAAAACTTTTTAATTCTCGTACTCGTTTTCAATCACACATTTACACAATAAAATATTTTATACGTAAAATTAAAACTTTTCCCTACTTTTTAACCACACATTCTCCAAAAAAATCACTCTTCAAGCTCAATCCTTTATAAGTTGGTTTATATTTTCATCTTTATTCGATATATGATTTTATTCCTTAACATGCCCCCGCAAGATTGTGGCTCATTTGAGCAAACCAATCTTGAAATCTATGTCTTCATTATTTAGTTTTAATTAGATCAAATTGCTAGTTGGATCCTAATAAGCTTTGATATCATATTAAAACTTGAGATTTCATCTTAAAATGTCTGACTTTATTAAGAAGAGTAACACAAATTCTTATATTTGATCTATATTTTGGTAATTAGTCGATGTAGTATTTATTCCTTGACACTAACCATATACCTGTTATTTATATGCAGCCTGTTCAATTTTTGATCCTGCAGTTAAATCGGATGAAATCTGAGAATAAGAAGCTAACAGATTTACTCAATATTATCTACGGAAATTACAATGATTTGATGCAAAAGTACTCGGGAGATGAGCTCATGAAATCAAGAAAGAGAAAGGCCAATTATACAGAAAATTGTGACAATTCTTTTGAAAAAAATGGAATCAGTGCTTGTAGCTGCTGTGATGGTGGGTCAAATGGGACACCCAAAGAAATTGTTTCAAATGTTTCAAAGGCGTATGTACGCATCGATCGATCTGATATGAGCCTAGTAAGTTAATTCTTGAGCTCGAAACATATTGTTTAATGAAAAGGGTAATTAGCGCATAATGTTCCTACCTTACATTGTTATTATGGAAAACGTCCATACATTTCATTTTTTGGCATTTTCACATTTATTTTCACATTTTATTGCGAAAA